AAAAAAAATTGTCACCTCTTCTTTGATACCTTAATCTTCCTGACAAAGAAGAGAAGAAGGTTATGATTCCCCCAGTTTCCAACTCTTTATACTTTGTGAGAAGTTCTTTGTTCATATATCAAGGACTGTTTCTGTAGATGAGGCCAAGGGCGGACTAGTCTGTTTCCAACATGGGTTCCTATCCTTGGCAATACCCCAAGCAGAGATATCCAGATCCCTTGCGCTCCCATGGACTCTGCTGACTTCGTCCTTAAGATGTGTGTGAGTGAGTGTGTGTGTGTGTGTGTGTTACATTTCTGAACCACCCATCTGCCTCAAAGAGGGATTCTGGGCAGTCCACAGTAAAACGTTAAAATATTAAAAAGGTATATATATATATATATATATATATATATATAAATTAGAAATGATATCTAATTTGGCCTCTGAATTGTCTTTCGGGAGTTGAAATGCTCTCTGCTTTTGAAGTGTGCAAGACCTTGTCTGATTGAAGAAACCTCTTTGTGATGCACCTTTCACAACTTGTGCATGTTAGAAAATGTGTTCCTTGCACACCCAGTAACCTTGAGATTATGTGCCACTTTATTTTTGTTGGTCAAGGAGACTTCAGGTGTTTCTTGAGACAGGGCAATGCTGAATTGTTGTTTCCCCCCCCCTTTTTTTTTGTAGGATTTTTCCCTGGGAGTTCTCAAGGGTGTGATGCCTTCCTGCGACACAAGATGACCCTCATTTCACCTTCCATCTTGAAAAAATACAGCATCCCTTTTGACCGGGTATGTAGTACGCAACCGTGTTTCCGATCCTTAGAACGTTATCCTCTCCAAGGGAGGAGCAGCAAGAAAACGACACCGACGCCCTTGTGACACTGGGGTCGAACTGCCATAGGGGAATCACCATAGTAGTCCTCGACTTACGCCCTGGTTAAGTGGCGTGGTTGTTAAGCGAGTTGTGTGATTGCACCCGGTTTTACAACCTTTTTACCACAGTCATTAAGTGAATTACATGGTTGCTAACCGAATCATGGGGTTTCCCCATTGACTGTTGGTTAGAAGCTGGCTGGGAAGGTCGCAAATGGTGATCCCGTGACCCCAGAATGCTGCAGGTTGTAGTCCACAAGTCTTAAAAACTTGGCCAAGGTTGGACAGCCGTGATTTAAATTGGGGGTCCCCAACCCCCGGTCCGTGGACCAGTACCGGGCCACGGCATGCCAGCAACCGGTCTGCACAAACAAGCAAAGCCCCATCATTGGGATGCAGGCACACAGAAAACCACACACTCTCTGGTCCGTAGAAAAACTTCTCTCCACGGAACCGGTCCCTGGTGCCCAAAAGATCGGGGACCTCTGATTAAGATAAGATTAAGATAAGATAAGATAAGATAAGATAACCTTTATTGTCATTTTTTTTACTGTGGGCACAACGGCACACATCAAAAATGAAATTTAGTTGCCCGTTCTCAAAGTGAAACACATACATGACACACACCTAAACATACTATGAACAACATATGCACAGACCCACATCCCCACATATACGTAGCAAATAAATGTTAAACGCTGTCCATCTTGAATAGATAACGGAAGGAGGAGGCTTGAGAGTTCACAAGGTTAATGCTGTATGGAACGAAACTCTGGCTGAATCTGGATGTTCTGCTTCGGATACCACGGAGCCCCCTCCTCCCAGAAGGGAACAAGGAAAACAGGTCGTGAAGAGGGTGTGTAGTGTCCCAGATAATCTTACGGACCCTCCTCAAGCAACACTTCTGTGCCATGTCCTGGATGGGAGGGAGGGAACTGCCAATGATCTTTTCTGCCGTCCTCACCACTCTCTGCACCGCCTTCCTCTCTGAAGCAGGGATGCTTCCAAACCAGACTGTGATGCCGTATGACAGGATGCTCTCGATCGTCCCCCTGTAGAATGATGTACCTGTCTCCCCTCACCCCCACCTCGTTGAGAACTTAAGTTTCCAGCTCTGGCAACGAGACATAAACACATCGCTAAATATAGCTGTATCTCCAGGTACACTATTTCTACATCTGGATTTTGTTATTATAAACTAAACCTTATGCTTGGGGGGGGGGGGGAGAAAAAAAATTCCCTTTATATGTAAAAGCACCTCCTCTACCAAGAGTTTTTCAAAGCCGAGCCTCGCTCAAAACTACCTGCATAATGAACTTCCCAGCCCAATTTTGTGGATATGCAAATGGGGGCTTGGTTCAAGCCTCCAGCTGGGCGAGCAGATGGAGTGCGGGAACACTCCGGTTCGGAGGGCTCAGCGCCGGCTGTTCGTACAGGTGGCTCGGGAAGAGATCCGGCATCTGAATTAAGCCGTTGTGATTACAAGGTTGTTGTGTTTTTTTTCCCCCTCCACTGCATAACTCAGTCTTGTCACCCTGGTTTCTGGTTTCACCTTTCCGTCCGTGGGTTAATTGTCGATGTCGGAAAAACATATTTACATGGAAGAATCAGGCGAAAAGGCAGACGAGGGAGACCAAGCACACATGCTAAACGCAGCACTTTTTATTGTTAAAAAAAGAAGAAGAATATTTGCAGCTCGGGGTGGGCTCCTTGGTGCTCTCTGAGCTGGGTGGTTTTCTTGCAGACGTTTCATGACCCAACTAGGTAACATCATCAGTGCTAGTAGGGAAGGGGGGTTGTGGAGAGGAGGAGGAGGAGGAGGATTGTGGGGTCCTTCGTGCTCTCTGAGCTGGGTTGTTTTCTTGCAGACGTTTCATGACCCTGCTATGTCATGTCATCAGTGCTAGGAGGGAGTAGAATTTAGTCATCGTTTATATCAGCGGTTCTCAACCTATGGGTCGTGACCCCATTTGGGGTCGATCGACCATTTCATGGGGGTCGCCAAGCAAGGCTGTCCGCCATTTTTTTCCCCTTTTCCGGCGGGTGCCTTACCTCCCTTAAGCTGGGCCAGCTGGTGGTCGGCCTGCCCCGTCTCTGCCGCTTGCCAGCTACGCCTCGGCCGGCGCAGGGGGCAGAACCACGCATGCACGGCACTCCCGGGCAGGGAAAGTCCTCGACTTATGACCAGTTGGGTAGTCCTCGACCTACGACCGGTTTAGTCCTCGACTTATGACCGGTTTAGTCCTCGACTTACGACCGGTTGGGGGTCGCGGCATTAAAAAGGTTGAGAAGCACTGGTTTATATACTAGTGGTTGCCCTGTCAGCGTTGCAGTGAGCTTTCTTGTCGGCTCCTTGATTAGGCTGTTGTTTACTATTGGGTTGTTTGAGCTGGTAGTTCCTTGATTGGGGTGTTGTTTACTGCTTGATTGTTCTAGTTTTAATCTTGGTATTAATCTTTGCTCATCTGGGTGCTGATTGCTGGCAGGGAGGTGTTTGGCTGATTTTGTTTCCTCTTTGGCTTGTTGATGGTCTCTTTTGAACGGTGTGTAGATACTGTTTATCTCTATGGGTCTGTCTGCAGCCAATTTATCTGAGGGCCAAGGAATTCGTCTAGTGCAGTGATGGCGAACCTTTTAGCGACCGAGTGCCCCAAAACCGCCCCTCCCACCCGCCCCCGCCTGCTCCGCCCGCCCCGCCTGCCCACAGGACCACCCACTGCCTCCATGGCCCGCTGCAGCAGATCACTCAGGCGGCCCTGCAGTGCCGTGGTGGCCACGCCCCCCATCCATGGCATCATCTGCGCACGACGGGGTGTGAGGCTGGAGTCTTGTCCATGCTGCCCGGCTGCTATGTCCTTGGTTGCGCTGCTGTGCGTGGGCCGTGCCTGGGGACGACTCTCCTCCGGGGGGGGGCTGCTGGTGAGGAGGGGGCCGTGGGTAGAGGCGGGGCTGGGGTGCGGGCCCACAGAAAGGGCTCTTGAGTGCCGCCTCTGGCACGCGTGCCATAGGTTCGCGTGCAGGGCTTTTCAACCTTTTCACCCATTGTGCCACTTTTAGGCTATGGCAACATCCGAGTACCACCAGTCGCCTAGCAAGGTGTCAAAAACTTGATGACCAAAAAAAAAAAAAAGGGAAAAATTGATGAAGTACAGGTAGTCCTCGACTTACAACATTTCGCTTAGTGACTGCTTGAAGTTACAATAGCACTGAAAAAAGTACCCCCCAAGCCACAGCCGAGCAAGACACCTGCCTGCCCACCCGGCCGCGCTCTTCCTCCTATCCGAGGTTTTCATTGTTGTGAGCATTTCTGTTGGGGAGTGGCAGCGGGGGTGGGGTGAGGGGGTGTTTGGTTTTTATCCCCCCCGTCTGCTGAGTGGTTGCAGCAGGTTTTGGTCACTTCACATGACCCTGGGACACTGTGACCGTCATAAATATGAATCAGTTGCCAAGCATCTGAATGTAAATCACAAGACCCTGGAGAGGCTGCAACATTCCAGCTGATCGGTGCTTCTTCTGGGCTCAGCAGAAGCACCAGGATCAGCGCCGAGCTCCAGCCGGAGCCTGGCACTGATCCTGGCGCTTCCGCTGAGCCCTGACAGCCCTGCAGCTCCAGCCGTCTCTCGCTCAGGCTTGCGGGGTGCCGCCACCAGTTCAGCTCATTCCCCTCTCCCGCTACTTTTCTAGGATGGTCGTGTACCACCTGTCAGGTGCCAATGTACCACAGGTGGTACCCGTACCACTGGTTGAAAAGCCCTGCTCTAGTGTGTTTAGACTTGGGCTTGGTCTGGGATGCTCACTGTTTCCCAGTGAAACCCATGGCAAGGTCTGTCCATTAAGGTGCTTTCGTTGTGTCTTCTGACTGCTCGTTGACGTTCATGGACACGCTCTGCTAGTCTTCCGCCTGTAGGTCCTACAGAGTGGCGATTACATTTCTTGCCCTGTCTGTTGTAGCTGACTCCTGTTTTTTTTTCTTCTTCTTCTTCTTCTGTGGCTACTAGATCTTTTGGTTGTTTGGGAGGGCTTGATTTGTGTTGTTTCTTGGTTATCTTTCGATCGATGTGAGGGGCGTTTGCACCATCACTGAGGTTGTCAAAAATTTACATTGTGGGGCAGATATCTGCGGGGGGGGGGGGGAGGCAAGCACACGAGCTTGTGTTTCATCCATTGGGTGGATGTCATTGCCCAGTCATTAGGAATCTGTTTCGTCTTGGGGTGTGATGTAACATTGTTCTCTTTCATTTTTGTGATTAAGATTTCCACCCAATCAAATACTCCGGTCTTTGTGTCCGCTGCCCTAGACTAGAGGGAGGGAAATAAGATATTGGGATAAGGCATCTTACTACACAGATTTGAAGTCCCCCCCCAGTCACGTGATTTGAAGCTCCCCCCCCCCATATTTACGGCCATTTGCAGCGTCCTGCGATCATGTGACTGCAATTTATAATGTCTTTTGCTGGAAACTGGCATTTATTTCCTTTTTTTTTTTTGGCAAACACAAAAAAGCCCCCCAGCCATTCCGAGCAATGGATTCACTTAATGGCCTCTAGCCTCTTGGGAGTGGGGGTTTACAAAACAGCTTTTCAAAATAGCATTTAAACCAACAAAATAGAAAATACAGGCAATTGAACTAGCAAGCAGCCGTGAGATTTTAACAAACTGAAAATGGCTGTCTCGTTTCATCAAAGGTGTAAATATAATAGGGGCCGTGTACAGCAAGTACAACTATACAGGCCTCAGTTACTTCCAGTAAGCAGGAATGTAGTCCCATAATAAGTTAATAAGAGAGGCACTGTGCTCTAGAGGGGAAGGTGCTAGCTTAGAAACCAGGCGACAGTGAGTTCTAGTCCCACCTTAGGCATGAAAGCCGAGTGGGTGACTTTGGGCCAATCACTAGGCGACAATGAGCTCTGGTCCCG